TATGAGATCATCTTGGGGGTATATTCCTCTTGGTTTACCTGGAAGAGCTGATTATTATACACAGCCTTGGAGGGAGATTTTTGTGTTCCCCAGAGCATCTATAAAAATGCTAAATAAGATTCTTCTAACAGCTTCTCAGCCAGAGACATGCCCATTGTGTAGCTGTTATGTTCTTCCTCTAAATCCATTAATTTTTCATGACAAAATAGCCCTCAAGGCCTATCCCCAGTTGTTCTACCTCCATCTCACCCTACTGCGACACATTTTAGACTTTGGTTTAAAATCTTTTCAGATGTTTCTGAGAAATTAAAGGGAATTCCATTCACAGGTTCCAAGGTCAACTTACTTTAAATACATTGCTTGGCCGTGAGTCCCCCATTTACAGATCACCATGCTTTGTCCTTTGTTGGGTATTCCTGTTTCCTGTGCTTAGCGACACTACCTCTCATGAGAAACCTCACTTTCTTCTTTCTGCCATCTTTCCATGCTGCCATCATGGCGTGCATGAATGTCCTGGCTGATGCTCTCAAGAGCATCGACAATGCCCAGAAGAGAAGCAAATGTCAGGTTCTTATCAGGCCATGCTCCAAAGTCACTATCTGGTTTCTAACTGTGATGATGAAGCATGGTTATATTGGCAAATTTGAGATCATTGATGATCATAGAGCTGGGAAAATGGTTGTGAACCTCACAGGCAGGTCAAACAAGTATGGCGTGATCAGCCCCAGGTTTGATGCACACCTCAAAGATCCAGAAAAGTGGCAGACTAATCTGCTTCCATCCTGCCAGTTTGGTTTCATTGTACTTACAACCTCAGCTGGCATCATGGACCATGAAGAAGCAAGACAGAAACACACAGGAGAGATGAAAATTCTGGGGTTCTTTTTCTTTTCTTTTTTGAGTTAGAGTCTCTCACTCTGTCATCCAGGTTGGAGTGCAGTGGCACGCTCATGGCCACCACAGCTTTGTCCTGCTGGGCTCAGGCAATCCTTCTGTCTCAGTCTTCCAAGTAATTGGAACTACAGGTACATGCCACCACATCCAGCTAATTTTTTTATTTTTATTTTTTGAGTTGGAGTCTCACTCTGTCGCCCAGACTGGAGTGCAGTGGCCGCTCCCGGTCACTGCAGCCTTGACCTGCTGGGCTCCGGCGATCCTTCTGCTTCAGCATTCTAAGTAGCTGGAACTACAGGCGCGTACTAGCACACCCGGCTCATTTTTTATTTTATTGCAGAGATGAGGTCTCGCCAAGTTGCCTAGGTGGGTCTTGAACCCGTGGGCTCAGGCAATCCACTCACCTCAGCCTCCCAAAGGCACGGGATTACAGGCTGAGCCACTGAGCCTGGCTTAATTTTTTTATTTATTGTAGAGATGAGGTCTCGCCAAGTTGCCCAGGCTGGGCTCAAACCCGTGGGCTCAGGTAATCCTCTCATCTTGGCCTCCCAAAGTGCTGGATTTATAGGCGTGAGCCACCATGCCCAGCTGAGATTCTTTCTCTAGGGATGTAATACATATGTACAAATAAAATGTTTCAATGGAATAAATAAATAAATAATAAAAAAACCTCACTTCCTTGGGAAGCAGAGGGGTGCATCGGGTACAACTCCTGTGGGCCCTTGGAGAGTCCTGTTTCTGTACAAGAGTCACTTGCAATCCCCCAAGTCACTGGAATCTATAATGCAAGACATGTTTCTGCCAACAGTGGCCTGGTTTTCATTTTTGAGGCACTCATATAGGTGCCACTCTCGACTGGGCCCAGCACACTGGCTGAGCCTCTCTTGAGAGTAGAGCACAGTTTGATTCGATACCTTTAGTTTTCCCATCTTTGGGCCTGTTTTAGGAATAAGAATCTTCTTTGTATCCTCTCCGAGAGAGCACTGACAAGACTGTCACCTTTCAGGTCCCTCAACTCAGTCAGAAGCAGTATTATGAAGCAGTTAATGAGTGGCTTCTGGACCTAGCTGCCAAGGGCTCAAATCCCATCTCTCTCACCTATCACCTGTGAGGCTCACCTATCACCGAGTTTTCCCCTCTGTCAAGTAGGGGGAATAAGAGTTCAACTCCCAGAGGGTCCTTGTGAGGATAAAGCAGGTTGGTTTGCATGGGGCATTTTTTACAGCAGTACTTGAAAGAAGCAAATGCTATGTAAGTATGAGTCATTTTTATTACCATAAGCAAAGTTTTCTTCGTTGGTTTATTTGACAACTTCTGGCAAACTTTTTTTCTCTTTGGAAACCACTCAGCAGCACTCTTGAAAGCCTCCTTTTGTGGCTGCATTTCTAGTTTCTACTGAATCTGCTGCAGGTTCTACCCTTCTCATTTGGATTCTCCTACTTGCTTCCAGTTAGCCAGCAGGGGAGTTTTTCAGTCTTCAGGACTCACATATCAAATCTTGCATTTTGGTGCACATTCCCCTTCAGTTCTTTTTTTGGGTGTGTGTGTGAATTGGAGTCTCACTCTGTCACCCAGACTGGAGTGCAGTGGCTGCTCCCGGTCACTGCAGCCTTGACCTGCTGGGCTCCGGCAATCCTTCCGCCTCAGCCTTCCAAGTAGCTGGAACTACAGGCGTGGGCTACCACGCCTGGCTGATTTTTGATTTATTGTAGAGATGAGGTCTCGCCAAGCTGCCCAGGTGGGTCTCGAACCCACGGACTCAGGCAATTCAGTCACCTCAGTCTCCCAAAGCACGGGATTACAGGTTGAGCCAACGAGCCCGGCTTCCCTTCAGTTCTAATAATATACTTTGAAAGCTTAAGATTTGTAAATGTCTGTTTTCACATTCTCATCTAAAACAGAATAGATGATATTTTCTCCCAATTCCTCTCCATGAGACCTCACTTTTCCCTCTTTTCCTCCTAGCTCCTAGACCTTCTTTTGGGAGTGGCCTGGGTTATGGTGGGTTCTAGGGCTGAGTGACTGATGTTCTTGAGAGTCCAGTCGGGTTCCCTGGAGAAGGCAGGGCCAGAGGAAGAGCTGGGAATGTGAAGACATTACAAAGACAAATGCACTTTATTGATAAGGCAACAGCATTATACAGGGCTGCGACAGAGAGCCCAGCGGACTAGGGCTACGTGGAAAGGAGGTCTGATTCACATTGAGACAGAGGCTGAGTGTCCTTCCTCCTCTTTCTAATGGGTTGGTGGAGTCACAACCCAGGGAAGGTAGAAAGGGGTCCCAGATCTAGAGGTGCTCTGTCTGGAATCTGGGGACACCCCCTCACGGGACTGGGTCAGCCACCTGGAGAATGGGAACTGGGGTCTGAGCTTAAGCGTGGGGCAGTGAAAAGGGCACTGGTCCATGAGTCCAAAGTCTGTTCCAGTCCTGGCACTACTTTTAACTAGTTCTAGGAGCTTGGGTGAGTCATGCCCTCCTCTACGTGTCAGTTGTCTTTAACAAGGGGATTGAACTAGCTTAGCAATTTTCAAGCATTTTCTCCCACTGGATAGCAAGCTTGACCAATGTTTTGCAGCTAAAATAAAACAAGGGTCTCTCCCAGGTCCTTGTAAAATAATAACAACAACAATAATAATTAATGTACAGAAATTTCACAATGTAAGTCCCCCCCCATAAATATCTCCAAATCAGTGGTGCCTGCTACCCTCTATGGTAGAATATAGTACAAAGTGGAATCTGAATCTGAAAACTCATAGCTAACAAATTTAAGATGAAGCCATATGTATGCTATCCTGCAACAAAGAATGTGACTTGCAGATATTTTTCCACCTGAGAAACAAGGGGCCAGGTGGACACTGAGGCTCTTGCAATGTTAAGTCTGATCCTTCCCGGGGATTTCCAGGGACCAAGAAACACTGGTGGAGGGGCACATCTTCCAGGGGTTTGTGTGGTCATTTTCCCATGGACATGACCTCCCTGGGATACAGCAAAAGAGCCATGGGCTTGGAGACAGCCGTGTTTCCCAACTCAAGCGCTGATCTGAAGAAGTCTCTGTGATCCTCCTGGAAGAGCTCCCTTTGAGCTGGTCCTGCACACACCTGCATCCCAGTCTCACAAGAACCCCACCCTGGAGTAAACAGACCAGGGATCCCACCTCCTGGGCTGGGTTGGCTGCAGAGGAGAACACAAACTTGAAGCTGTATTACCCCCGTCCCTGCCTCACAGGCCCCTTTTGACTTTTGGGTGGAGTGAGAATAAGAAGGGAACCAGCCCCACTTTATTCCACCCCTCTATGCTTTCTGCATCCAGCCATCAGAGGCTGCCCTGTTCTCTCTCCCCACTCCCTAGGGTGCTGGAGCGCCAGCCCCTGGCTCTGTGGGTGAGCAGCAGTCTTGGCACCACACCGAGGCAGCAGGAAGGCTGGACTTGGCCGCGGGGGTCTGGGAGTTCTCCATCCTGCCCCGCCAGGTTGGGAAGAGACTGCTCCCACTGTTTCTCCAGACTAGGACAGTGGGGAGAGTGGGCTGACTTCTGGGTTGCCCTCAGCGATCCAAGGGGCAGGGCTCACTTTCCTGGGCAGGAGGTAAGGCACTGGCAGGGGAAGGATCGAGGACAGGCTGGTGCTTTTCTGCAAGTGGAGGGTAATTCAGTCCTGCCATGTGGATCATTTGAAGGAGAGCTCCCACCTCAGTCAACCCCTTAGATCCAGGTTGAGGAGCCATGGGCGTGGTGGCAGGGGACAGCCTGTGGCCACTATTGACAACTCTTCTGTGAGGCTGGGTTTGTCCGTCTTTTCCTTCTTGGGCCTCTCAGCAGGTGGATTCTGGGCCTGGGGCCCCAGTGGCGGAAAGTCCACTGCACCAGAACAATTGCCTGTGAGAGTATCACCATAGCGATGGGATGAAGGTGGGCACTGAGGGGCCAGGCGAGTGTTCTTTGGCTGGCAGAGGTGGGCAAGGGGGTGGTTGTGACCTTAGTCACCTCGTTTTTGGTCATCCTTGGCAGTGAGTGTTTTAGATGGGCTGGGGGTGGGAAGACTGGGGACGGAGTCCCACGGTGGCATGCAGTCCAGGGATAGAACGTGCCGTCTGGAGGTAGGAGGAGAAGGGGAGGGTGGGAGCCATGGGCTGGTAATTTATTGTGGGTGGGCAGGGGATGAAGATCCCCCCCCAGGCTCAGTTCACGTAGGCCTGGGGGAGGTCCAGATGTCTCTGTCCCTGAGGAATGGGTGCAGCCTGCCTGTTCCCTTGGCACCAGCCAGCAGCCACTTATGGGGTGGTGGGGCATCCCCGGGCAAGGCCCTGCCTTCAGCCTCTGCCCTCTGACCCCACTTGAGTTTCTCTGTCAAATGAACAGCAATTCTTCCTAACCGAGGTCTCAAGGGACTGGGGAAGAGCCTGTAGGAAAGGGGAACCTGGGTTTAGGTTGGGCAGGAAAGAGGATGGACTGGGCAGTGGCGGAGGAGGGGCTGAACTCCAGAGAGGGAGGGGAGAGCTGCTGGGCCGTCGCCAGCCCTGGGCCCGGGAACGTGGCCCCGGAAGAACAGCCCCAGGTGCCACCGCAGGCTGCCCTAGTCAGGAGAGCTCATTGCCAAACACTTCGAGCACGAGGGGCGTGAGCTTCATGCTGCACTCGGGCTGGAAGGAGAGGCAGCGGTACTGCTTGGAGTGCTCCTCGTTGAGGCTGCGCAGGTCGGCCAGCTTCTGGATCATCTTGGCGTAGAGCAGGTGGCTGCCTGGGGGTGGGTGGCGGCAGCGGATGTAGGTCTGCAGTGTGTTGGACAGGCGGTCCTGGATGGCCTCGATCAGTGCAGCGTCCTGCACCCCCGGTCGATCTGTGCACACGGGTGGAGGCATGGGTGTTCTGAGCTGGGCTGCTTGTTCCTCCATCTCTCCACCCTCCACCCACACTGACACCAACCGCAGCATCCCCCAGGTCACTCCTGTACGGCTGCTGACATGAGATACCACCGCCCGGCCCAAGGTCCCTCCATAACTTCCCACTGCATTTAGGATTGAGTCTTAGGTCCCTTTTGGGGCCTGTCTGGCCTCGGCCCCATCTCATCTGGCTCCCCATCTCTACGCCACTTTCTTCCACACAGTGTCCCGATGCGTCTGGCTTTCTGGTCACCAGGCTTCACATCTGTGTTCCCTCTGCTTCCGCTATCTTGACCTGACTCTTCCTGATCCTTCTGGTAACTGCTTAAAAGGCCTTCCTCCAGAAGACCATTCCTGACACCCCTCTACCTCCACACCCAGACCAGGTCAGAGTCCTTCCTTCTATTATGACCTCCTAAGTATCACCTGCACCTTTATTTTTAGAACTCTCGTCATATTAGGAATTAGTTGTTAAATAGCATTTGCTTAATATCTCCTCCTAAGCCTTCATGGGACCAAATGTGTCCTGTTTGCTGATGAATTCCTGTGCCTAGCACAGTGCCTGGCACCTAGTAGGTGCTCAAGAAATCATTGCTGAGTGTATAAATGAGTGAGTTAGTGAATGCTGGCTGGGCCTCCAGCCCAGGAAAACATCCCTGGTAGAGGCCACTAGCTTGTCCCCTGAACACAGTCCAGGCTGATGCAGGGCTGCTTCACTTGGGCCTCATCATCAATATAATATCCCCAAGGCTACAATAGCTTCCTCTTCAGTCTTTTTTCTTTCTCCTCACCCCAAACAAGCCAAAGAGGTCAAGCATCATAGCATACTGTCTCCAATTCAGTCAGAACCGTCCACCAGGACTTTGTACCTACCTCTGAGGAACCTCAAGTGACAGGAAAGTTCAACCCAGTTCACACAAGAGCAGAGCCTGAGAGCTAGGAACACTCAGGCTTGTCTAGGGTCTGAGGAACCCTGTTTATCTGGTTCCTCAGAATCCTACCTATGAATCACCTACAGTCTCTGTAAGGCAAAGCCAAGGATGTAGTGAGGAGCCCGTCAACACGCACACACCCTGTGGGCTACGCAAACCCAGCAAAGTAGGTGCTTCCTTATCTTCCTCTCCTTTTGCTCGCAGCTCCTCCCAGAATGCCCTGCTGGCTCGCAGATGGTCTTTGTCCTTCACAGTCCCCACCTCCCAGTCCCTGGAGCGCCTCCCTTCTTGGCCCCATACCTGGGGAGACGATGCAGATAGCCATAAGCAGGACATGCTCCTCCTCATGCAAGTTCAGCTTCTTCAGCCCCACCTGGAACTTGATGAGGGGCTCGAGCAGCTCCAGGCTGTGGCCGGCTGTGAGAGACAATGGGCAGGCGCTGTGGGCAGATTCTAGCCTGCCCTGACTGGGTCCCACCCTTACCCCCTCTTCCTGTTGTCTCTGCCTAGCTCCATCCCATGTGTCTGACCGGGGCCCATGACCCCAGGAGGGGTACAGCCAGGGCTTGAGAACTGGAAAAGGCAGAAGCGGAGTCCAGACGCACCTTTGGTCACATCACTGACACGGTACTTGTAGTCCTGGCTGCCACAGGTCCAGGACATGTCGTCCATGATGAAGGACTGGTTAGAACGCAACATGATGACTTCAATGGCGCTTGACTTCAGCAGCACGATCTGGTCCTCAGAGGAGAGGTCTCTGCCAGGGAGGGCAAGCGGGAGGTCAAGACCTCAAGTCATACAGATCAGTGTAGTGTTTTGACAGGTGTATACCTGCCAGGTGCCCTGGGTTGGAAGGGATAAGAGTGTTCCTTGAGAGAGATCAGCTCAAGACTGTGATCGTGTGCCAAGGTGAGAAGAGAAGTGGCTCAGTCACTAAGACTAGGAAAGCCCAGTGACTAAGCAGCCACAGCTATGAAGGGCAGGAAGACAGCCTGAGGAAGCTCTTGGTGTAGAGGCAAGGATATGGCAGTCTGCAAACAGTGTGGCCAGAGTCATTGGCAACAACTTATTTTCCTCTCCCTTTCCCTGTCCTCCAGCCCTTCTCAGTAGTAAGCTCAACCAACTCTGTCTCCAGGACATTTTCTGAGCCCTTGACCTCATTCCCACTTCCATCAGGAGAGCTCTGGTTCACAGGTCAATCACTCTTCCTGGTCACAAGTCTCTATGGCCTCTCATTCATCTTTCTTACTGCTGCTACAGATAAACATCACTCTTGTGTTCAGAAATCCTCCCTGGCTCTCAAACACTCTAGGATCAAGTCCATACTCTATAACTTGGCTCCAACCTGTGTTTCCAACCCTCATTCCTATGGCAAACTCCATCAACATTCCATTCGAGCGATACTGGACTACTCACACCCGGAGGATGTATGTTCTTTTTTCTTTTTTCTTTTTGAGTTGGAGTCTCACTCTGTCGCCCAGACTGGAGTGCAGTGGCCGCTCCCGGCCACCGCAGCCTCAACCCGTTGGGCTCTGGCTATCCTTCCACCTCAGCCTTCCAAGTAGCTGGAACTACAGGCGTGCTCTACCACGCCTGGCTGATTTTTTGATTTATTGTAGAGATGAGGTCTCACTGCCCAGGCGGGTCTCGAACCCGCGGGCTCAGGCAATCCACTCACCTCAGCCTCCCAAAGGTGCGGGATTACAGGCTGAGCCACCGAGCCCAGCTGGATGTATGTTCTTACACCAGCATGTCTCTGAGCATATTATGGCCTCATCCAAACACCCTTCTAATGCTCCATCTTATCTTTCTGGTCCCAAATGCAATGTGGTTTCCCTTAAAGCCTCCTCCCTCGATTCTCTCCAGCATAATCAGGGCTATTTCTTTTTCTTTTTCTTCTTTTTTTTTGAGTTGGAGTCTCACTCTGTCACCCATACTGGAGTGCGGTGGCGGCTCCCGGCCACCACAGCCTCAACCAGCTGGGCTCCGGCGATCCTTCCGCCTCAGCCTTCCGAGTAGCTGGAACTACAGACACGCGCTACCACGCCCGGCTAATTTTTTTGATTTATTGTAGAGATGAGGTCTCGCCTGCCCAGGCGGGTCTTGAACCCGTGGGCTCAGGCAATCCACTCACCTCAGCCTCCCAAAGGCGCGGGATTACAGGCTGAGCCACCGAGCCCGGCTTAGGGCTATTTCTTGATGCTCTTATTTTGCCTTTCCCCTTCCACTCTGTCCTTTATATACTTGTCTCTGATTATTCTTTGTAAGTTACTTCAGGGCCAGTACCACCTCTAAATTACTTTACCATTACCCTCATGCTGATCACTGAGCCCTAAGCACAACAAGAGGATCAATAAATATGTGTTGACAAGTCGAGAGGCCAATGACTAGTTCCACTCTTCTGAGTCATGAGCTGGGCTTGTTGGAACAATGGCAAGGAAGAGGCAGGGCCTACAGATCAGTTTGCTTCCGGCTTTTACTACCATTCTCTTCCTGAATGTCTACTTTCCCCCTGGATATCCTGTAGACAGGCTGTCATCCCTTTGTGGCTGCACTGACTTGGGTATGAAAAGATGGGAAGCAGATATCAACAGAGGAGAGTTTTATATCAACAGGTGATACACGTTGGGTCATGCAGAGGCTTGCAGGATGGCCAAAAAATAATCTGTATTGAAAAAAATCATGGCCGGGCTCAGTGATTCAGCCTGTAATCCCAGCACTTTGGGAGGCTGAGGTGAGTGGATTACCTGAGCCCGTAGGTTCAAAGCCTGTCCAGGCAACTTGGCGAGACCTCATCTCTACAATAAATAAAAAATTAGCCGGGCATGGTAATGTGCGGCTATAGTTCCGGCTACTTGGAAAGCTGAGGTGGGAGGATCACCGGACCCTAGCAGGGCGAGATTGCGATGGCCGGGAACGTGCCACTGCACTCCAGTCTGGGTGACAGAGTCACCAACTCAAAAAAAAAAGAAAAAAATCACAAAGTGCTAGAGTTGCAAGTCCCCTCTTAGGTATTTCTAGAGATGGCTCAGTTTCTGCAGGACTCTCCTGGGGTCAGGGTGCTCAGGGTCTCTGGGCACAGCCATGAGGCTGTTAGACAGTTCCTGGGTTAATGGCCTCTTCTCTTGTTGAACTACAACCCACATGATGATACATTCATTTTTTTGCTTACAATTTTTTTTATTTTTGTGTTGGAGTCTTACTCTGTTGCCCAGGCTGGCGTGCAGTGGCACCCTGCTCACAGTCACTGCAGCCTTGACCTGCTGGGCTCAGGTAATTCTTCCATCTAAGTCTTCCAAGTAGCTAGAATTACAGGCATTAGCCACCACACCCAGCTAATTTTTTGATTTATTGTAGAGATGAGGTCTCGCCAAGTTGCCCAGGTTGGTCTTGAACCCATGGGCTCAGGCGATCCTCTCACTTCGGGCTCCCAAAGTGCTGGGATTATAGGCACGAGCCACCGCACCCAGCCTTGCTTATAGTTTTGTACTTTCAAGAAACATAAAACCAGACTTCTCTTGAATCGTGGCTAATGGATTTCTTTCTTTAAAGACAACTACCAAGCCGGGCTCGGTGGCCCAGCCTGTAATCCCATGCCTTGGGAGGCTGAGGAGAGTGGATTGCCTGAGCCCACGGGTTCAAGACCTGCCTGGGCAACTTGGTGAGACCTCATCTCTACATAAAATCAAAAATTAGCTAGGTGTGGTAGCGCGTGCCTGTAGTTCCAGCTACTTGGAAGGCTGAGACAGAAGGATCGCTGGAGCCCAGCAGGTCGAGGCTGTGGTGGCCAGGAGCGGCCACTGCACTGCACTCCAATCTGTGTGACAGAGTGAGACTCCAACTCAAAAACAAAAACAAACAAACAAAAATAATAATAAAGATAACTACCATGTTGTCCTATCATCTTTTCTAGGAAAGACAATCTAATGACACAGTGTCTAAACATCTCACCATCCTTGTCACTTTCTCTAGATGCTCAATCCACATTTACAAAATGAAAACTAACACCACCCCCATTTGGTTTTTAACTCATTATACAAGTAAAACATCTATTATCAAATCTTTGGAAAATACAGAAAATATATAACAGCAAATTGCTCATAATTGCTTGACATTTTGTTATATTTCCTTCCTGTTTTCTATGCAAATATATATACTCATATATATATTAACACACTTGAGTTCATACTAATTCTATATGCCACATCCTGTATCACTCAAAATTCTTTACTCCAGTTCTTAGTGTATTGCGTAATGTTACATCATAGCCGTATACTTTAAGTTATTTAATCAGTCTCTCAGTTATCTATTTTTGGACATTTTTGGTTGCTTCTAATGTTTGCTGTTATGAGTAATTCTGTGTACACTACCTTTTGTTCAATGCTACACTCAAATGGGTGGCCAGCAGTGAACATACATCCATACGTGCGGGCTAGAGAGACGTCAGTGGAATCACTGCTTGTTGTGATCCAGATACACTACTGCTAGGAAGGCAAACCCAAAATGACCCAAAATGACCTCCCACGGTCTGGAAATACAGGGACTTTCTAAGTGCAGTCCATAGCCAGAACTAGGGATTGTGGTGGGTCGGGGAGAGAGGCAGAGTTAAAGGGAAACCAGTCAGAGAGCATGTTCTGCGATGACAGGACCAGCTTGGGCTCCGAGCCTCCTCCCTGACCTGTGTGATGTTTACACCCTGTCTTCGTGCCTGCAGCCACTTCTGGACACCTCACATGTGCCCTGGAATTGCATGGCTGTCTTGTCTTTCCCACCCCCACAGGCAGAGCCCAGTCCCTCCTCTCCTGCATTCCCACGGTCCTTCTAGCAGGTTCCTAGTAGACCTCTTATCTCTCTGCAGCAGTTGTTTATATGTCTGACTCTTTCATCAGAGTCGGAATCCCTGGATGCCAGGGACTGTGCCCTAGTCAACTCTTGTCCCTCACAGTTCACATAAGAAAGCTGTTCGTTGGATGGATGAATAAATAGATGTGGAAGAAGGGGCATAGCACGAAGAAAGCAGGATGGGCTCCCGACCTTTGACCCAGGAAGGAGCTGTGGAGATGGAAGTGGCAGTGGGGTTGATGGCATCTAGCCCAGAGGACTGGGCTCCAGTTGATATGGCCGGGTCTCGTGTACTTTACTTGGCAATGAAGCCTGGGTGTCCTAGGCCCTGGTCATTTAGATGCTGCTGCTGACACCACTTCCTCAATGCGTTTCTTTTGCCATGCCCAAGGATGAAGATTTGTGGGGTGAGACAGAGAGACTGAGGGAGGGAAAGTGGGAGGAGGAAGCAGGGCCAAGGCCACACCATGGAGCAGTTCACACCCAGAACAGCCCATCCAGCCCCGCCCCATGTTGGTCTCATGCCCGCACTGGAGACTCATCCCATCCCCCTCCCCAGTCACCCACACAGAAGTCTCATCCTGCCTTCCCCACACCCTCCGCCCCCGCCTACAGGCAGCAAGATCAAAGCCACCAAGGACTGTTCTTTCACTTCTTGGAAAAACAGAACCCCTAAGTGTGGAAGCCAGCAGAAACAGAGAGCTGCTGGGCTGGTCCTGCCTGGGCCCAGTTGGAGCCTGGGCTTGGGCTCCAGTCCAGACTCTGCATGACCTCTGTCGGGTCACAGAGAGTGTCCACCTCAGTGTTCCCCCAAGAGCTCTTGCCAAGGCCTGCTCCATTTTTATTGGAAACATTCTGCTCTGGGACTTCTCAGGCCAAGGCCAAGGATGGTAGATGTGGGCAGGTACCAGAGCTGCCCAACTATTGATGCAAAATGGGTTAAACTATTTTGCATCAACAGCTGGGCAGCTCTGGTACCTGCCCGCATCTACCATCCTTGGCCATGACTGCAGGGCTACAGCAGGGAACCTTGGGGAGAATGAGGAAAGGAAGAGAGAAGAGCTCATCTCAACTTTAGGGAGGGAAATTGAGGGGATAGTAGTGCTATTTGTGACAGGGGACATGTGAGAGGGTAAGTGATAGGGGCCAAGGACACAGGAGAAAAATGATGGCTTGGGTTACTTAGTGAAGGGGGCAGCATTGGGATAATCTGGTTTAATGAGAAACTGTCTTCTTAGGACAGTTTTCCAATGGGCACAATCCCAGCCACCACTTGGAATCACTTGGCCTTGGTATCTGGGGAAGACTTTGGAGTCTTCTGTTCAACTCCCCATCAGAGCAGGGAGAGGTGAATCCCATGCAGATGAGAACTGCTACCTGGTGTTGGGAAAGAAGCTGAGAGCTTCAGCAATTTTTCCCTAGCTGTTTACACACAACACGATTTTGGAATATGTGGAGTTTGCAAACAGTAACACAAAGCATGAAGGAGGATGTTAGAACTTGTGCTCGATGGAATGTGTTGTCAGTTCCAAGGAAAGACTCTGAGGATAAACCACAGGTCCAGCATGATGCAGGGCTCACAGGAGATCAGCTACTCACTCCTGTCTGTCTGACAGAGGGGCTTGTACTCTTGTCCCTGCAACCACAATGCACAGTGCAGTGAGTGTCTCAACACTGTGTGCTGTTTCTCTCTTCCTTGCAATTTTAAGATTAATTCCAGGGGAAGAGTTTCTGGGATTTGGGTTGGGGAGAGGCATAAAATAACAGAGATAGTTGTCAGAGGGCAAAAACAAACTAGAAAGTGCTGGGTTTAGCTCTGTGAATTAGCTGGCAAGGCAGTCATTTAAACAATAACTGATGACTTTTCTACATAGCAGAGAGGTTCACAAAACAATACATGGCACCCTATATTAGTTTCCATCCAGAGCCAGCAATGTTAACTCATTTTCCAGTCCCTAGCAATCCAGCACTGAATCTGAGCATCAGTATCGAGGAAGCATCCTGCCCTTCCTGCTGTAACTACAGCTATTGCTGCTACTTGAAATGATAATAATGTTGCTTGATATTGATGTATTTCTTTCTATTCTCAACCACATTGTATATGCATTTTATGGCAATATACCAAATGAAATTTTGGAAAGACTGTGGATATAAATATATACAAATATAAATCTCACTTCCAACATATCTACTAAGTGCATCAATGCTCTATTGTTTTAAGAATATTTAATGCTATGTGGACATTTACATATAACTATTATTATACATGTCATTAGTAGTAAAACCATAAAATGTTGGAATGAATGAGTAAAACTTGTATGAATGAATCCATAAAGGAGGATCCCTACTACGGTAGAACTTCTTATACCTAGGTTGGCAGAAAGGTTTCAGATATGATTAGAAAACGGTCTTTAAATGTAAATTTTGGTGAAGAATGCCTAGATCACATGTGCCAGGAAACCTGTCTTTCTCTGGGATGCCTAGGCTATTCCACAAGTCTACATGGTCAGCCCTTTCTCCTCTCTGTCACTTCATTCTGATCTCAGAACTGGGAGTGGAAGAATAGTGTAGGTTGAATATAAATGGATAACATGAGGACTGGAGTCAAGCCAGCTGGAGTGGACACAGCAGTGAACTGGACGTTCTAGGCCTGGCTCGGTCATGCTGACTCCAACACCAGAAAGTAATCCTGGCTGAACATTGAGCTTCTCTGGGCTTTCACTCCATCCTCCAGAAAGTGCAGGATGAACCAGCTCTCCAGTACTGGCCCACAGAGTAAGGCAGCACAGGCTGCCCTTCCTTAAATACAGATCCCTAGGTCTACCCCAGAGATTCTGATTTAGGAGTTCTGGGGCAGGGCCTGAGTGTCTATTTTGGGGAAGCAGTAGATGGATAATCTCCAAGTTTTCTTCTAGATCACTCTAGAATTCTGACTCTGCTCCCTCGACATGGCAGAAGTTTCTTACCTGAACCCTGGGATCATTTTGGCAAAACCGATGACCTTTTGGATGCTGTAACTGACCAGGTCAGCCAGGTGGGGCAGCATAGAGAGCTGGGACATGTCCAAGGTTACAGAAGAGTCATCTGAGTCCTCTTCGCTCAGATCTAGGTTAGAGAAGCTGGATGGCTCCATCATGTCTGGGGGATGAAGGAAGAGAAAGAGCTGTTTAAGGATGCTCAGGCCAGATGCCCTTCTGCCAGCCCCTGCGAGGACCTTGTGCACCCGAGTAGCAGGACCAACTGCGAGTCCCACAGTGACTGCCTCTCCTCAAATGTCACTCTTCAGCGCTGGACTTCCCTCTGGGGCTCTCCCTGTCTCTTCTTTCAGCAGTGTGAGGCAGTAAAGAGCCAGAGAGATACTCAGAGAAACAAATGATTTTGTAGATCACATGCTATTCCTAATGACCTCAATCAAAAATAAATTTGGGATGAATCAGCCCATGGAAAAAAAATTTCAACCTCACTAATGACCAAAGAACCGCAAAATAGAACATCTACACTTTTTGCCTGTAAACTAAATGCTTATTTGTTTGGTTTGTTGTTTTGAGTTGGGGTTTCACTCTGTTGACTAGGCTGGAGTGCAGTGACAAGTTCACCACTGACTGTAGCCTTGACCTCCTGGGGCTCAGGCAATCCTTTCACCTCAGACTCCCAAGTAGCTGGGACTGCAGGCACACTCCATCACATAGGCTAATTTTTTTTTTTGAGTTGGAGTCTCACTCTGTCGCTCAGACTGGAGTGCAGTGGCTGCTCCCGGCCACCGCAGCCTCGACCTGCTGGGCTCTGGCGATCCTTCCGCCTCAGCCTTCCAAGTAGCCAGAATTACAGGCATGCGCTACCACACCCGGCTGATTTTTTGATTGATTGTAGATATGAGGGCTCGTCAAGTTGCTCAGGCGAGTCTCGAACCCGCGGACTCAGGCAATCCACTCACCTCAGCCTCCCAAAGGCGAGGGATTACAGGCTGAGCCACTGAGCCCGGTTTGTTTGAGTTTTTAAATAAACATATGCTATACGGAACATATCACTGCTGAGGCAAACACCTTTAATCAACCTGTGAGAGGGTACCTAAACTTCTAAATAATAGGAAGTTATTATTAAACGCTGAGGTATAGACCCATGCATAGCTTATACAGGTTGCCCCTCATTGGTGCAAATGAATTGCCATCAGGTGACAAGAGCAGGAAGGTGAGTAGAGAAACATGACAGGTGGGAGAGATCCCTACAAGGGATAGGCCTGTGAGTGCTGTGGTCAGTGCTTGTTTTTATCCCCTTCCCACCTCCTACCTCCCTCCTGTCTCTACTGAGTAGACACCACATCTGACTCCAATTGCTATCTGTCCGGGGTACTGGGACTCCTTCCTCCTATTCTGGATCCATGCACTGATTCATCACTGAGTCTGGAAGTGCCAGATCTGAGGTTGCTAGTTGCCTAGAGGGGAGGGGGTTTTCCATCTCTGCCCTCCTGCAGGCCCCAAGCAGAGAACACGAGGGTCGGGTGGGAGGTGGAGGGAGGGAGGCAGGGGGAGAACAAGGCAGGGTGATGAAGAGGAAGGTTGAAAAGGGTTACAAGAGCCGGGCTTGGTGGCTCAGCCTGTAATCCGCGCCTTCGGGAGGCTGAGGTGAGTGGATTGCCTGAGCCCGCGGGTTCGAGACCCGCCTGGGCAGCGAGACCTCATCTCTACATAAGTCAAAAAATCAGCTGGGGTGGTAGCGCATGCCTGTAATTCCAGCTACTCGGAAGGCTGAGGTGGAAGGATCGCCGGCGCCCAGCAGGCGAGGCTGCGGTGGCCGGGAGCGGCCACTGCACTCCAGTCTGGGCGACAGAGTGAGACTTCAACTCAAAAAAAAAAAAGGAGGCAGGTCACCCCCTCATGGAGGGGGCCATGGGCTGATACCTGGCTTATGGGAAAGGTCAGAGGCTCCAGAGGTTAACATGACACAGCCAGAATCCCAGCCTGGCCTCGTCCCCAGCACGAGCCCCTGGTCGGTCACCCTCTTCTGAGGACACCGTGTGGCACACGGTATGAAGTACCTCCATGTCCTTCCATCCGGCAGCCCGAGGGCAGGTGGGGTGGGCTCCCTGGAGGCATTAAGTCCTACTTACCTGGAGAGGTGATGTAGTGATCTGAGCAGGAGGAGGAGGAGTCCCCGGAGAAGCTGGGTGTGAGCCTCAAGTTGGGCCTGGAAGGAAGGCTCCCTCCGTCACCCACACGAACTGGAGGCTGGAAGGGAAAGATGGGGCTTCTGAGACATACGTGTTGGGGCCACCTTCCTACCTGGGCCCTGGTCTTCGATAGGAATGGCTTCGAGGAAGGTCTGCAGGAGAGTGAGGTTTCCAATGCCAGAGGGCAGAGCAACCTCTGTCCTGTCCCAGTTCTATGCCTGGATGCCGGTCTCCCTTCATCCCCACTTCCCAGCCCCAGCTGTACTTGTGTTTCTCCTTGGGGCCACGCATCCTCCCCGGCCAGGCGGACGTACCCGGAACTGGCAGAAGTCAGCGTAGGTGGGGTCAAAGGTCTTGTGGTGGGCGTCCAGCAGGATGGAGATGATGTGCTGCTGCTCCTCAGACAGCTTGGGCCGCAGGCTGTCCTTCAAGGCCTCCTCCTCCTTCCGCTTCAGGATCATCTCCCGCTTCCGCTGCACCTCCTCATCGGTCAGGATGACTGTGGGGTGGGAAGGGGAGTCAGGGGGGCTGGCTCCTCCAAGAAACCTTCCTCCAGTGGCTCCTGCCACAGGGGACTCCGATTTCCTCATATGGAGGAAAATTGGGTCTTCCATGGTGAAAAGGAAGACACGTGAGAGAAGAAGAGGATCTGAGAGGTGGGATGGTCTGGGCGTTAGGAAGCCTGGGTTCTCAAGAATGATTTGTGGGACCTTGGGCAAACTGTGTAAATTCTCTGGGCTGGCTGGGCACGGTGGCTCCCACCTGTAATCCCAGCACTTTGGGAGGCCAAGGTGAGAGTATTGTTTGAGCCCAGGAGTTCGAGATCAGCCTGGACAGCATAGTGAGACCTTGTCTCTACAAAAAATAATTAAACATTTAGCTGGGTGTGGTGGCATGCACCTGTAGACCCAACTACTCAGGAGGCTGACGTGAGCTGATCGCCTGAGCCCAGGAGTTTGAGGCTGTGGTGAGCCATGATCATGCCACTGGAGTGACATCCAGTCTGGGTGACAGAGTGAGATCCCAATTAAAAAACAAAACAAACAAACAAGAACTAATTTGTAAAATAAGAAGTTTGGACCATATAATCTCTTCTAAGGTCCCTTTCTTGAACCTTCCTCCATAAAGTGTATGTGTGTGTGTGTGTGTGTGTGTGTGTGTGTGTGTGTGTGTACGTGCATGTGTGTGTATGCAGGTAGGGGAAGGAATTACCCCTATCTCAAAGGATTGACTTGTTTAAGAGCTGAGTATGTGCCTGGCACAACATAGATGCTCACTAAATGTTAGTTCTCTTCTCCCTTCCATTCCCCAAGTTCCAGGATCTTGAAGACGATATCAGAGTGGAGAGGAAGTGAAATAATGACTGTGTGGACATTTGCAGACTCAGAGGCTAGGAGATGCTGAGAAGACGCCTCTATGTGGCCACGCCCATGTCCAGGTTTCTAGACTTGGAACTCTGGCATTTGGTCTAATCTTTTTTTTTTTTTTTGGAGTCTCATTCCATCGCCCAGACTGGAGTGCAGTGGCATGCTCACGACCACCCCAGTGTCAACCTGTTGGGCTCTGGCAATCCTTCTGCCTCAGCCTTCCATGTAGCCGGAACCACAGGCGATGCTACCACACCTGGCTAATTTTTTGATTTATTGTAGAGATGAGGTTTCGCTAGGTTGCCCAGGCTGTTCTCAAACATGTGGGCTCAGGCAAACCCCTTACCTCAGCCTCCTAAAGTGCTGGGATTACAGGCTTGAACCACCACACCCGGCCTTGGTCTACTCTTGCCAACATAGAAGGACTTGGCCTCTTCAGTTGTCTGCAAAACCACTTCTCCTCCAGCCTGTAGAGCCTCGATATTTCTGCCCATGGATGTTTTCAAGTCCTCTTTAGGACCCAGAAGGCTGAGGCCTCACAGCTCTAATCTTGGAAGTTTTCCCTGGCCGCTGGTCAGGGTGTCAGGCCGTGGGGAGACCCTACACACCTGCAGGCTTGTGTAGGAGCTGTGCCTGCCTCACCATGCTGGGGCAGTTGCTGGGAGGGAGGGGCTGGGAGCAGGGCTGCCTGGCATAGGCTGGGCAAACAGACCTCCTGGCCGGGGTTTGCAGAGCGCTGAGGCAGGAGTGGGCACCAAGGCCCTTGGCCTGTAGCTACTTGCTTGGTGCTGGGGCTGCCAGAGCCTCTGCCCACAGAACTGGGGAGTTTCACAAGAGCAGGGAAAGGAACCAGAAGCCCAGAGTGGGTGAGTTCCAAGCTTCCAGAAAGGCCCATCGGCGTAGGCCCCTAAGGTAGGGGAAAGGATGACAAAAGTTGGTGGGGTATGAGGAAGAACCTATGGCGGGTGGGAGTGGATGACCGGAGCCACAGGCAGAGCAGGAAAGGGGGACCAGCTGCAAGAGATGGTACCTCCCTCCAAGAGGAGGGCTGGGAGGAGGCCACACCCACACAACTGACTCACCTGCCCCAAGAGCTGTCAACTCTCCTCTCATAGAGGGTGTCTGCTCAGACCCTAGGGGTCAGGCAGGGTGGGAGGGAAGGAGCAGGGAGCATCCCAGGGAATTGCAGGGTGTAAGGCCCTAGCCCAGGGAGTCGAAGATTAGGTGTCTGGTCTTTCCTGCTCACCTGGAAGGTGAGGCGGAGAAGACGACGGGAACTGAGTGAGGGTGGCCTGGCTCTGTCAGTCACACCACAGTGTCCTCAGACATGTATCTCAGCCTAACTGGACTTCGCTAACCCCCCTTTGATTCTGTGATGTCATTCTTCGGTCCAGAGACTCTTCCCAGCCTCTGCTGCCTGCCACGGCCAAACCAAAGTCAAAGTTCTCCACGGCTTGCTTCCTTCTTACCTTTCTAGACTCGTTTCCCAGCACCTCTGGACACAGCTTCTGATCTAGGCTTGTGGGCATTGCTGGCTGTGAACACAGCCCACTCATGCTGCATTTCCACTTGTGCTAGGTGCCTGTCTAGCTGAGCCTCCTCTCCCCAATAGCTGTGTGAGTTCTATCTGTTCCTCAATGCTCAGTTTACAGCCCTCTTCAGCAACGAAGACTTTTTTTTTTTTTTTTTGAGTTGGAGTCTCACTGTTACCCAGACTGGAGTGCAGTGGCCACTCCCGGCCACCGCAGCCTCAACCTGCTGGGCTCTGGCGATCCTTCCGCTACAAGTAGCTGGAACAATAGATGTGCGCTACCACGCCTGGCTAATTTTTTGATTTATCGTAGAGATGAGGTCTCGCCTGCCCAGGCGGGTCTCGAACCTGCAGGCTCAGGCAATCCACTCACCTCAGCCTCCCAAAGGCGCTGAAGGCTTTCTTGATTACCCCAATCTGCACTGAACTTCATTTCTTATACATGCTGCAAATCTAGTCTTTGGCACCCCATGGTCTTCTGCTCTGTAAGATTCACAGTTAGTGCAGGTTTCAGTCCATGTCTGTGGAGAGAGCCCTGGAAGTTCAAGGTCTCCTTCCCTGGATTGCAGGTTACTTAAAGGCAGGGCAGGGGCCACGTCTTGCAATTCTTGTGTGTTCCCCCACAAAGGCTAGCCCACCGGGCTACCTGGACTTGGTGCTTGCTCGATTGTCTGACTCCACACATCAAGTGCATCAACACAGATTGTACCACCTACTATGTGCGAGTCAGTTTCTGACTCAGGGAAGCACAGTGAGGAGTGCTCTAGTGCTGCCTGTGTCTTGCAGGGTCGGGAATGGCAGCTGGCATTCCAGGCAACCAGAGGGCTGAGCAAAGTTGACCTCTTTTATTTAAATGTTTGCAATCAGAATGTTTTTAAGACAGAAAACTTTATAGTGGAACATTTATAACATCATCTAACTTTTCCCTGATGATTCAGAGGTATCATTCTGAACAATTACTGAGTTTTGCAGGGCAAGATCATGCCTCAGGGTTGTCAGAGACTGTATGCGTTACATAGTGTGCCCAGTCTGCCAGGCCTTGGGGCTCTTGGACTATTTCTAGTAGCTTCCTGTGTCTGCCTCTCTGTGAAACTATGAGTTGTCTCTTCGTATCAGTGCCTGCCTCTAGAAAACGTCTTTCTCCCCTTTAAGAGTGATTTCTGAGCCGGGCTCGGTGGTTCAGCCTGTAATCCTGTGCTTTGGGAGGCTGAGGTGAGTGGATTGCCTGAGCCCGCGGGTTCAAGACCCACCTGGGCAACTTGCAAGACCTCATCTCTACAATAAATAAAAAAATTAGCTGGGCGTGGTAGCGCGCGCCTGTAGTTCCAGCTACTTGGAAGGCTGAGGTGGAAGGATCGCCGGAGCCCAGCAGGCTGAGGCTGTGGTGGTTGGGAGCGGCCACTGCACCCCAGTCTGGGTGACAGAGTGAGACTCCAACTCAAAAAAAAAGAGAGTGATTTCTGAACTTTTGGGAGTTAGAAATACTGGTGATCAAGTTTGATGTAATAAAAGATGATATTAATAAGAATGAATAACACAGAGTTTTTCTACGTACAAGGCACAACTCTGAGTTCTTTTGTATATTAACTCACATATTTAGTTCTTATAACAAACCTTCAATAACAACAACAATAGCAGGTGCAATTGCTATCCCCATTTAGCGGGTGTTGGAACTGAGGCCCAGAGAGGCTATATACCTTGTCTCAAGTCACACAACTAACAAGTGGTAGAACTGGCATTTGGACCTGAGGAGTCTGGTTCTGGATTTCATGGTCATAACCACGAGCCTAACCTGTGTCTGAACAAGGTGTTCCAGTCCATCTGAAGAGGTGAGAATGACAGAAAGTAGCAAGGTTTGTAAATGTTTCACTTTCAAGAGACAAAGAAAAGTCAAGGTTAACCTTATAATGTTGTTCTTCCCAGTCACTTGTACCAAAGAGCAACCACCACCCTTGGTGTGGGTAATAGACAAAGAAATGCTGAGATCTACTGGTTTCAAATACTGACATCCAACCATGGGCGTCCAGGACTGTTTGGGGACTACACTGTTTGGGAATGAAGTCACATGTCTCTCACATATGCTGATGCTATTGTGATTTGTGAAATACTTTGTTTAAAGGGATTATTAATGTCCTAGGATTTTAAAATTATTTCCTCGATGATTGATACTAAAATGTCATTGCTATCACATAGAAAGACATTCAAAGTGAAAAGCCACTGACCTAGAATAAGAACCAACTGACTCTAAAAGACTGTCAGGTGGCCAGGTGCAGTGGCTCAGGCCTGTAATTCCAGCACTTTGGGAGGCCAAGGTGAGAGGATTGCCTGAGCTCACTGGTTCAAGATCAGCCTGGACAACTTGGTGAGACCTCGTCTCTACAATAAATCAAAAAATTAGCCAGGCATGGTAGTGCATGCCTTTAGTTCCAGCTACTTGGAAGGCTGAGGTGGAAGGGTCACCTGAGCCAGCAGGTAGAGGCTGAGGTGGCTGTGAGCATGCCACTGCATTCCAGCCTGGGCAACAGAGTGAGATTCCAACTAAAAAAACAAAAAAACAAAAACTGTCAATCTCTCTGATGAATAAGGTGCATGAACTTTGGTACATGGACTTTATAAAACTTACATGGCAATTCAGTAGCCTTTTTGACTTCCTTTCTCTCTGTCTAACAAAGTAAACATCTGCAAGCACAAACAATTTTAAAACATTTCAAGATGCCAATCGTGGCCTAAGGACAACAGGGAAAAGGACATAAAATTTTCCAAATGAATGACAACAGACAATATTAGGTTTGGGAGACTCTTACTGATCTATGGATCTGCAGAAAATACAGAGATACAAAGAAGCATAATGGGAGCTAGTATTCATTCATTCAACATGTATTTACTGAGTACCTACTATGTGCCAGGTACTGTGCCACAACTGGGAAGAAAACACATATACATCTGTAAAAACATTAAACAAGTTAACATAATAGGTTGTTCTGTGCAGGACAGGTATATTGTAAACAAGAAATAAGAGTTCAGCTATGAAATTTCTCGGATTCCAAGGGCATAAAGTCAGCTAGGACTGGAAGAGAGATAGAAGGAGTCTTCAGCGGGAAAAAAGCTCTCTTCAGCCCATCTCTCAGGGCCCCAGGAAGTGCCTTTAAATGCACCATGGAGTGAGCTCTGACCCACTGGCAGCATATGAGGGGCTGCCTGGGGTGCAGCCTACAAGCTTGGCCTTTGGAAGCCAACAGACCTAGGTTAGAATGAACACTGATACCATCATCTTATTAGCTCAGAGGCATGATATTTGAATTCTTCTGAACTTCCTCAGCTACTCAAAAATATTGAAGTATTTACCTATTTAGGGAGTGTTGGGAGAATTTAAGAAAATGCATGTGCCTGACATGGTATCTGACATATGTAGATGGTCAGTAAACACTCATTTCCAGTCTCATCCCCTCTCTCTTCCTAGGCCTCCTTTGTGGAAGGCCTACCTCTCTGCTGAGAGCCTGGGTGTTTAGCTCCCTTCCTGTGATTTTGCAAATACTAAGACACTCAGTTGACTTCAGAACACTAAGTCTTAGAGACAACAGCCAGCCCAGGTGATAAATGAGCTGCTCTCCCAGGGTTCTGAGCCCAGGGAACTCCAAGTCCAGATCCATCGGCAAGGTTAGCTAGAGTGGGCTAACCTGAGGCAGGGAACTACATCTCTTCCTGAATGACCTTCCCCTCAGGGCAGTGGAAAGCACCAGCCTTATGCTGGTCCGATGTTACTACTTTAACTGGCGCTCTGAGGCCCAACCTCAAGACCCCAGCTCTATCAGCCCAGCCACACTACATATAGCTCCCTGCACTGGAGTCACAAGAGTGGTATAGGCAAGGGGCTCCCCTGGGCATGTGGCAAGATGGGGGAGGGATGGCTGGAACCCCACAGGGAAGGAGTAGGCTGGAGTGGTGGTGGCTGAGGCACAAAGCTGATCTGGGAGTGGAACGAGTATCCACTTCTGGACTGCTGACTCCCTAACCCACAGTGGGGTGTTCCTGGGGCAGGGCCCCCTGATTTACCAAAGGCCTGGTGCTACCCTTCACCGTAGCTGCAGTGCGCTTTATGGGGGCCAGGAGGGGACATGGAGCTGGGGTCTAGTCCCAGCTTGGCCACCAACTTGCTTTCTGACCCCAATTCTGAAGTTTTAACCTTTCTGTGTCTCAGATATGCTTCCTATACAAAGTTATAGGACATCCCCTTCCCACCTGAGACATAGGTGAGGGGCCTCTCAGGTACCTGTAAGTGTGGCCCTGATGGAAACTGCTACAGCAGTGCCTTATGGACCTCAGCAGTGGAGGCTGGAGCTTTGGAACCCAGGCTCCCTGCCCTGCAGAGGCTGTGTGCTCTATGGAGACAGGGGCTGCATGGAGTCTGGGGTTGATGTCCACCCTAGTGCCTCACACTGAGAAGGTCCTACTAAGAATGTGTGTGAAGCCCCATAAAGCACCCAGGCATTGAGCCTCCACATTCTCACTCTCTCCAGGATAAACACAGGACCCAGGGTGGGGCAGAAGCTGGGCAGGAGCAATCAGCATGCCCAGGCCTGCGTGTTCTGTGGAGGTAAGGAGGAACATAGGCCTGGAAACTCCTTCCAGGGCTGCCAGTGTTGGCTGGGGAGCTGAGGAGTCATGACCCACAGGAGAGGAGCCTTTCTTGAGGCCCAAGGAAGCCTCTGCTCTGCCTGTTTCTCACCAACAAAGAAATTTTTCCCCAGTAAGAAGAAATTTCCCATCCCCTAAGCCCTGTCCTGTGTCTTTTCCTCTGTTGTTGACACATCTTCCTGGCATCTACTCTCTCCATACTCCCCCAGTGGTCCCATAGTCAGGAGGGCCTGCACCCGGGCACCCCCACTTTCGATCTCCTCAGGTCCACAGCTAGGAGGGCCTGTGCACTGTCCTAGGGCCAGGTAGGGGCTCGGGTGCAGACAAAGACAGGAGTGAGTCTGGATAGGAGAGCAGAAATAAGTCTGCCAAGGACACATGCCCAGGTGGGCCCAGTGCCCTCAATCCAGCCCCTCCTGGCATCTGCTGAATTCAATGGCTACTCTGATTACCAAATAATGATGACAGCTTTCATGCAAAGTCCAAGTGTTGTTTTCAATGCTGGTTCAGAACATCCATGTAAATCGGCCACGATTGTCTTCTCCAACCCCAGAGTTGAACAGGAAGTCCCACAGGATCACCCCTCTGTTGTCATCTGGATTCAGAGTGTTGTTCTAGAGCCCCAGTGCTCTCTCCCACAGACTCAGTCCCCCTGGTCTCCCCTGGGCACCAGCTCTCAGCTCTGTCCGTGGGGCCAGGGTGACTGGAAGCCTGGGATGGGGCATACCGCAGATGCCAGCCACACTCTGAATCTTTACTCTCCCCATTGCTCCTGCTCTTCCCAACCCACAGCCACCCTCTCTGCCGAAGTCCAGGGAGCCTAGGGTCCTTGAACCTCGTTCTTTCCTCCAAGCTCAGGGAACAGGGAGCTGTGAGATATGAAGATGTCCTGGAGGAAGGCTTTGACTAGGGACAGGGGATTTCGAAGGCAGCGCCCTGCCTCTCCTCCTGTCAGGCCTTCTGAGACACACATACACTCCTAGAGAGGCTCACAGGCAGCTTGGTGCTTTTGACTCTGGAGATCAGCTGCCCTGCTGCCCGTGGTTGGTCCCACTCATGCTCCAGCCCTGGATGCTGGCAGCCACAGAGGAGGGGAAGGCATACCTCTGTGCCCAAACTGGCATGATAGCTGGCCAAGGCCCTCCCCTGACTCCAGTTTGGCCCCAAACCCTGCCGGGACCCCTAGACACTCACACTCCTTCATCATGCCGATGTCCACACAGCGCTTGAGCCGGCAGGCCTGGCAGTGGCGCCGGTTGTCCTTGGTGATGCGGCAGTCCCCGTTGAAGGGACAGGTGAACAGCGCCTTCCGCTTCATGCTTCGCCTGCCGAGAGAGCACACGCCCTTGCCTGGGTCACTGAACTCTTGGCTTCTCAGCCCTGGCTGCAGAGACCAGCCTCCCAGGGCTCTGACCATGAAGACCTGCCCACGAGGCCCCCAGGTCTCCATTTCTCCCCCAGAGGATGTGGGCCAATCCCAGCCATCCGGCTGCTCTCACCTCCAGGCTGGGCAACATCCTGCCCTTCCTTCCATTGCCTGCTTGACTTTTGTCATGGCCTGGACTTACTTTTACAGTATTCTGCTCCCTCTCCCTTTTTTAATTATACAGGAAATAGGTAAGCACATTTTTCTAGTACATTTTTAAAAATTTTATTTTATTTTCAAGATGTGGAGTACAATTCAGGATTAGGTAGACAAGTGGTCATCGTACAGGTAAAGTTTAGGCCTCCCTTTGGTCTCCGCTTCGCCTGGTTTGATATCAGGTACCCTTATCGATGTTATGTGCCCTCCCCTGGCAGTGTTCCACTACTGTCAATCCCTTTCTTATAGTATTATGATCAATGTTCAGGGTCCGCTTATGAGTGAGAACATGTGGTATTCGGTTTTTTGTTTCTGTGATAGATCACTGAGTATTATAAACTCTAAAAGTGTAAACTAGTACAACTTCTGTGGAAAACAGTGTAGTAATTCCTAAAAGATCTAAAAATTGGCCTTCCATAAGACCTGGTAATTCCCCTTCTGGGAATATACCCAAAGGAACTCAAATCATTATACTAAAAAGATACCTGCACACGTATGTTTACCGGAGCATCATTCACAATCACAAAAACACCCACAATTTTAAAAGCACTGAAATCGGCAGGGGAGCCCTCAAAATAGCTTTTAGTGAGCTATTATGAGAGGCAAGGAGGCTAGTCTCAGTATTGTCTTCTATAGTTCAGAGATCTTGGCTAGAATATCTTTCATTACAGGGATATGTGTGTGCACACAAGGGAGAAAAGGCCCAACCATAGCTCCAGACAGCCCAGAACCTGCCCAGGAAGAGAACATGCCAGGATGGGAGCCTGTGGTCTGGGCTTGGCTTTCAGAAAAGCAGAGGAAGCAAGGGATCTGTCAGAACAGACAGCTTCTAGAGGGTTCTCAGCTAGGAAGCTGGCCCCCCGTGGTATCCTATGCAAAACTTTGCTTGAGTATCTGTGCACATGGTCCCACTCACACTCCAGCCCTGATGCTGGCAACCACGGAGGAAGGGCAGGCACACCTCTCTGCCCAAACTGGCATGATAGCTGGCCAAGGTCTTGCGCCCTTGTGTGCATGCTCAAGCTTGAAGGCTCATTTTTCATATTTTAAAGATGTGGGGTACAATTCGGGAGAAGGCACATTTTTCTAGTTCTATTTTTTTTTTTGGAGTTGAACTCTCACTCTGTTGCCCAGGATGGAGTGTAGTGGCATGATCACAGCTCACCACAGCCTCCACCTTCTAGACTCAGGCAATCCTTCTGCTTCAGCCTCCTGTAGCTGGGTCTCCAGGTGTGCACTACCACACCCTGCTGATATTTTTGTTTTTGTGGAGACAAGGTCTTGCTTTGTTACCCAGGCTGGTCTCAAGCTCCTGGGCTCAAGCAATCCTCCTGCCTCAACCTCCCAGTATGCTGGAATGTCAGGCTTGAGTCACTGCGTCTGGTCTCATTTTCCTAATTCGAATGTTCTCTCCCACTACCAGCTATGCCAAGTGGACCTTGGGAGGCCACATAAAGGACATCTCCCTGCAGGCTTCTCAATATCTGTGTCCTAGAGGATCCTGTTCATCCTTCCAGCCCCCAGCAAGGGTGGGCCCCATTTTTTTTTTTTTTTTTT